TGAGAGACAGATATCAAAACAAAATTCAAAGCAGTATCAAAGGATTTTATTTTATAAATTCAAGCCAATTTATTATCAGACAAAGTAGATTTCCCCATACAAATGTATAAAATATGTATAAAAATTCTTAAAAGTATAAAGTCTGCTAAATATATTTAAGAAAACTTATGGTGAAGATGTTTTAATATAAAATTAGTAAGCAATACCTAGAATTATGCTCTTTTAACAAATGTGGTAGACACAATGGATATATGCACGAATTGTGGTAAGAGTTGTACAAGCCCCCAATAAAATGATTTTTAAAAGAAAAAGAATTACGCTCTTAAAGATGAAAAAAAGCATTAGTGTTCAGATGACTGAAAACCGTGTATGCCAGTCTTATGTGACTAAGACCTGCAGCAAAAGTGCTGTCGCCTTCTGACTAATGGAGTCACTACTCTCTGTTGGCAAAGTTGTAATGCTAAGTTTATACTTTTAATTCTTAATCTATTAGCTGGCGGGGCATGATTAGCGCCTGAAACGTTCTAAATGTTTTATATTCACATTTTGGGACAGCCATTTGAAATAAGTGTTATCCTTCCCAGTTTGTGGATGGGTATGAGATTTTGGCCACCAAGGTGCCACTAATGCTACCCTATAATTGAATTAATGAATGACAAGCAATGTCCATGTAGCAAAGATCAGAGAATCTTCCTGCAGTAGTCAGGATTGTCTTTCTCCATATATATATTGAGCTAATACCAGCTGAAGCAATGAATAATTGATTTGATGTCTATAAATATAGGACAATCTTTTGAATAGGAAGAAAAAGATTTTGTAATTTTTAAATGTACATTTCTTACATATGTATATCAAACCCATCAAGTCTACTATTGCTGATAATGATCTTATAGGATAGCATAGGATGGTCCAAAGTGTTCTCAAGGGTATAAATCTTTACAGAAGCAGATTGCTACATCTTTGTCCTGTGAAACATTGTGTCAGAACTGCCCATCTTTTAGATAAGCAGCTGAGTGCTTTAACCATTGTGCCAACAGTCTCTTCACATGCATTTGGTGACATAATTTATACTTACATGTGTAAATAAAATCATATATAAGAAGTACCAAGCCTATTGCCATCAAGTTGATTCTGACTCAGGATCTAGTAGAACTCCTTAGGATTTCCAAAATGAAATCTTTATGGAAGCAGCGTGCTTCATCTTTCTCCTGCATAGGAGCTGGTGGTTTCAAGCTGTCAACCGTATGGTTACCTGGCATTACTTAATGTACAATACCAGTATGGGCCCTTACATAAAGTACAGCCCTCTTCCCCGCCCTCCACCTTTATTCCCCTCTCCATCACTGTCACCTTACCCACCAAGACTAAGTTAACGACTATATGTATGTTCCAGGTTTTCCTCCATGCTCATAAAGTTGTATACAAGCATATATACACATAGGAATACAAAGAATTTAGCTTTTCAATAATAGATTATACTGTACACATTTTTGGTGATCTTACTTCATTCAATGAGTTCTTGTTGGGAGTCCCTCCAAATTACCTTGATAGCTCTAATTTATTCTATTGTGTTAAACATATACATAACAAAACATTTGCCATTTTATCATTTTTACATGTAAAATCCAATGACATGATTTTCAGCGTGTTATACAACCATCTCTGTTTCCAAATTTCTCCATCACCCTTAATAGAAACTTAGTGTTCCTGAAGTACTAATTTCCCCTTTCCTCCTTTCCGCCCCTGGAAATCACTAATAAATCTTGGTTCTGTACATTTGCCTTTTCTTGATATTTCATAAGTAGTACCATACCATATTGTTCCTGTTATGAGTGACATTTCACTCAACACAATGTTCTCAAGATTCATTCATATTTTAGCATGTTTGGGGGGGTTCATGTTGCCTCATGGTTGAGTATGATTTGTATGTACATACCACAGTTATTCATCCATTTGTCTCATTGAATATTTAGGTTATTTCTACTTTTCCACTGTTGTCAATAGTGCTACAGTGAACATTGGTGTGCATGTATCTGTATTCTTTCAAATCTTTGAATTATTTTGAGTATAGAGCTAGGATTGGGATTGCTAAAGGTGATTTTATGTTTCAACTTTTTTATGAATATTCTTTATGGATGAATAATATTCTATGATGTAGAAGCACCGTAATTTATGGAATTATTTCCCTAATTTATTGAACATTCACTTTGTTAACTGTTTTTGCTGCCAAAAAGCATGTAGTAAATGACTGTAGAACTGCCTATACTATTTATATCCTGATTTATTTTATATGAAACATTTTAGGACTGGAACTACTGTATTATGAGATGTGTGTCTCTATGTAGCTAAGAATTTCTAATAAAAGTCATAACCATTCACATTTCTTCTAGCGGTTTGTGGCATCCCTTTCCTACATCCCTTTAGTAATGTTAACACCTTTTAATTAATTTATTTATTTTTGTTAAACCTTTAAGCATTTACCATTTTCTTAGGTATAAAATGGTGTCTGTTATTTTCTATTTTTGAAGTTAACACATTTAGATTTTCTTTTCTGGGAATTGCCTATTTATGTGCTTTGCCAACTTTCCAATGGGTAGCTTTGAGTTTCCAAACCAATTTTAAGAAGTTTCTATATAATTTCATAACCTCCTTCTAGAAAGCTTATGACTTGAACTTATGTTAGCAATTCTCAACCCAACCTATTTACCTTTACTGAGCCAAACAGCAGAATGCAAGTAGGCTTCAGGCTCTGGGTCTAAAAGAAGCATCTGGTGGGAAGGAGTAAGATGTGGACCCATAGAAATGCTTGAATCCCCTCTACTGCCTTCCTGCCTCAAAGGAACATTGATATTAGCCTGTCCTCCAAGAAATAGGGAAGGAATGAGCCAGCTGAGTCCTCCCTACTCTAGAGCAGAGATTTCTTTCTCAAATGTTGGCAGAGGAGCAGAGTGTCCTTTTTGCTGCCTATCCCTACTAAACAGTTGTCAAGGTAGAAAAAGAGTAAACTCCTGTAAGAACTGTTTACACTGTGCTTCAGTGAACAGACTAAATACTATAGAACACCCTGAAACTCTGTTGCTAAAAATAAAAAGCAAAATGTAAAAAATAAATAAAAGGCCCCAATAAAGCATAACAGCTGAAAGAGAACAACTTGAATAAAAAAGTCTGAACACAAGTTGCAAAGTTCCATTTTTTGTTTGTTTTGTTTTTTAAGCATCTGGAGCCCAAACTCAATATTTTGAACCAGATAATAGCAATAGGTGAATTGAGGAATGGTCATATGGAGAATGGAATTAGATGCTTGAAGAATTTAGTAGAGAAATATAGCCTTAAGGAAAATATCAAAGAAAGCTCAGATGTTGAGGCGAGAGCCCGATCCTAACATATGAACAATAACTGTTCTTGAAGAAGCAGAAGGAATAAATGGAAGAGGGGCATTCACTTTGAAAAGATGTAGGGTTTGTTTTTTTTTCCTACTAATACCCTAATCTGTAGGTTGAAAGGCATGCTGAACTGCAGGCAGAATTACGAATTCTGTTATCTGATGATGACAGTAAATGACAACAGAATGCTCATTCTGTGCCAGACAGTGTTTTAAGAACTTCATGTTATTAACTTTCTGAGCCTCACAATAGCCTTGTGAAATAGGTATTAATATCACTCTTATACAGAGAAAGGCAATAGATGTTGAGTGGCATAGCCAGGATGTGAAGCCAAGGTGCCCTACTCCAGAGTACTGATGACACTGACTTCAAGTTCAAGCATATCCTATTAAAATTTATGAACTCCAGAGATCAAGGAGTAATCTTACAAGTTCCAGAGGAAAGATCAAATTGCCATTAACGGGGGAAAAACTCCCATCGAGGTTCACTTTTGCAGCACCTTAACCCAGAAAACAGGGAAAGCACTATTAAGAGAAAAGGACCAAAATCTAGATTTCTCTAACAATCAAGCTAGTTACTTGCCAGGGTGAATCAAATGTGCTTGTACACTACAATTAAGCAACTGAAAACACCACCTGATGGAAACACTCAAGGAAAAGAAAACAATGGTATTTAACCTTGGTCTTTGAACACCCTGTTTCCCCAAAAGTAAGACACCCCTGAAAATAAGACCTACTCACAGTTTTGCCCCTCGCTGAAATATAAGGCACCCCCAAAAATAAGACCCTCCCAAAAATAAGGCCCCCAAAGCTACCGTAACTCTGGACTCGACCTTAGAGGCAGCGCTGCACAACTCACTGTTGGCCGCAGTGCACCCGAAGCAGACAGGAAGTGCGAGGTCTCTTTTAATAAACAAATGTGTACCGTATTCTTCTTCATGGAAAAATAAGGCATCCCCTGAAAATAAGACCTAGCGCAGCTTTGGGAGCAAAAATTAATATAAGACACTGTCTTATTTTTGGAAAAACGGCAGTATTCCTCCCACCTAGAGTAACTTCACCTTCAGGTTAACTTTCTCTAGCGAATCTTTTTCAACTTCCTAAATTTCATGTTTCTCCTATAAATTTCCACTAAACTCTGATTCCCTCATTTTAGCATTTACCATAGTCTCTTACAACAGCCTTTTGTATATAATACTTATGAGAGTAGGAACAGATTATGCCTGTTTCACTATGGTAACTCTAGGACCCAGCCCAGGTGCCTGGAATATAGTAGATTGACTTACTGACTGAATATGCATCATCAAAACTCTCAAACTTGCCTTGCTGTCTTATGTAGATCATTGTAGGTAGTGGCCTTTGAGGAAAGTAAAGCTTTACATTTGTCTTTAGTGGATACACAATGGCCTTTTCAGGTAGCGCTTGTATATATTTCTATATCTGTGTCATGGCTATTTAATAAAGATTTCAATGCACAGAATAGGGTTTCAACATAAAAGAGTGTATGCCAGTTAATAGGTGAGTTTGCAAGATTGATCAAAAATCTTTTTCAGAGTTAGAATCTTGTATTTGGTAATCTAAAAGTGATGATAAACACGTATTCTTTGTTTCTTTTCAGATTAAAGCTAAAAATTATGACAAGGTTGAAAAGGTAGGATTTAAATATTCTTTATAGTATATGTTGAAGCTTAACTTGGTAGATGCCATCAAGTAGGTTCAAACTCTAGGATTTTAGGGACCCTATGTACAGCAGAAGGAAACACCACCCAGCCCTGCACCATCCTCACAACTGTTATGTGCTGAAGCCAATATAAGCAAATAAAGTTCTTACATCTAGGGAAAGGAAATGTCATGATACCTAACCTTGGTGTTCGGACATTGTTCCTCCGGCCTTGGAGGACCTCTGTCCCTTCTTTCCCAGAAGTGCGTTGTACTATTGTACAACAGTTTTGTATATTTGAAATTGTTTTGAAAGAAAAATTAGGAACAGGTAATAATTATACTCCACTCATCAAAATAGCAAGAATGATTTTGACTAAACTTAAAGGAGGGCATTGTTAGTTGCTCTTTATGGGGGCGGGGCTTGAAAAGTCCATGGAAAAGTTTCATTATTTTTTAATTCCATTTTCCATGACCTTTAGAAATCCCCTTGGATTTAGAAAGTGGTAAATTTGTGAGAAGAGTGATTTATTTTTAATATTTAATTTTATCCATGTACAAATGAGGTTTGATTATGAATTCTAACATTCTTTTGTTTATAGCTATTTCAGAGATGCCTTATGAAGGTTTTGCACATTGATTTATGGAAATGTTACCTTTCATATGTCCGAGAAACAAAAGGAAAACTACCAAGTTACAAGTAAGTTAAATCAGAATCTTAAGAATGCAAGTTACCTCCAAACATACGAGGGCGGGGGAGCTCCAAAAAGTACCTTGAAAATGGAATTTTTAAAAAAAGGAAATATCCACCAACTTTTTGAAGCCCCTCTTTTAGTCAGTCCCACATGAACTCACACCTTTTCTTAGTTCTAGCTGGGAAGAAATATAAGGTTAGGAAAAAACAGGATTCTACAAGAAATCAAGAGACATTGAAAATATGCTTCAGAGAAATCCACTGGCATTAGCTTTACTCCAGAAAATGCAATCACCAAAACCCTTTATGTTGAAAGACTACCTTTGTAGCACCAAAGGACTTCCAGCTCAAAATTAGCATGTTTTGTTTGTCCTGAGACCTCTCTTAGCCGGGTGCAATGCCATTTGTTACTTGAGTATTCTAAGATATCCTTTACAGTTTACTGTTACACAGTTGACCTTGTCACTATTACTTAAATCCACCTACCTATCTAAATAGTGAACCATTCTCAATTCTGTTTATTTACTTATTCTAATATTTTATATTTTTGTTTAAAGTTTACACGGCAAATTAGGTCCCCACCTAATACTTTCTATAAACATTGTTCAGTGACATTGGTTACTTTTTTATACATTGTTATTATTTCTGTTGCTATTAATCTAGTTCCTTGTTCCCTCCTCCTTACCTTCTCATATTTAGTTTATAACAATAAGGATATAGTTCTATGTACATATATTTATATGTTAAGTATTAAGGTAGCACACAGACATTGTGCCTCTACTCAAGTCCTTCAACACAAGAAAACTTTGTTCTGATAATCTGGCATTCTGTGATGCTCACCTTTCTGACACCATCACTGAAGATAAAATGGGTACATAAGCAAATGAAGAAAGCAGATGGTGCCTGTCTTTCTAAGATATAGCGTATGGGGTCTTAAAGGCTTAAAGTTAAACAAGAGATCATCTGGCAGGGAAGCAACAAAGCCCACATGGAAGAAGCACACCAGCCTGTGTGATCACGAGGTGTCGACGGTATAAGGTATCAGGCATCAGAAGACCCAAAACAAACAATCATAATATGGATGTGAACGAGGTGGGGTCAGTGGAGACCCAAAGTCCATCTGTAGACAGTTGGACATCCCTTTACAGAAGGGTCACAGGAAGGGACAAGTCAGACAAAACACCACATTCCTCTAGTTCTTTAATGCAACCCCCACTATCATGACCCCAGTTATACCTTACAAAACCGACTAGACCAGAGCTTGTACACTGCAACCGATTAGCAATCTAAACACATGGAATCCAGGACTGATAAAAACCCTCAGAACAGTAATGGAAGTAGTGATATCATGAGGTTAAGGGGGAGAAAAGGGAAACCAATCACAATTATTGACATAACACACACACCCTGGAGGAACAAACAACAAACATGGGTGAAGGGAGACAGCAGACAGTGTAAGATGAGAATAATAATTTAGCAAGGGTTCAGAAGGGTGGAGGAGGGAGGGAAAAAAGTGGAGCTGATACCAAGGGCTCAAGTAGAAAGAAAATGTTTTGAAAATGATGATAGTAACATGTACAAATGTCCTTGATACAATGGATGTATGGGTGGTTGTAAGAGCCCCCAATAAAATGATTTATTCTAAAAACAAATGCAAGCCATCTCCAGGCATGTGATTCTCATTGCCATTGAGTCCATTCTGACACATAGTGACCCCATAGGAAGAATAGAGCTGCCCCTGTGGGTTTCTGAGACTAACTCTAACAGGAGTAGAAACCTCATCTTTCTCCCAAGGAGTTGCTGGTTTCCAACTGCTGACTTTTCAGTTAGCAGCCCAATGCAGAACTACTACGCCAGCAGACATAAGGCTTCCAGAAATTCATGGAAAATTAGAGCGGGGGTGGGCTGGGGGAGGGCACCCAGTACTCAGAGGTCACATGTTTTCTTTTATGTGTCGGTCTGTTATTTATGTAAAAGGTAACTTGCAAGTGTGGTTTTAGTATATAGCTTAAAGAGTATCTCAGGGGTTCCTCTAGTCTCTCCCCGTTCAGAAAGTGGGGCCTTTTTCAGCAATTTGAGTTTCCTATATTTTTCTCCCCTTCTATCATTTATTGTGACCCTTATCCACTGCCAAAAAATCCATTGCCATCAAGTCTATTACAACTCATAGTGAGCCTGTCGAACAAAGTAAAACTACCCCTTTAGGTGTTCAAAACTAAATCTTTACAAAAGCCTCATCATGGTTCTGCAGACCTGCTAGTCGTTTTGAACTGCTGACGTGGTTAGCATCCCAACATGTAACCCACTACCCTACTGGGGCTCCTGGTCAGAACAATAAAAGTAACCAGGCAACATCTAGTTCTTCTGGTCTTAGGCTAGAAGAGGTCATAGTTCTTGGTTGGCATTGGGCTAACTGTGAGGGCAGCCTCTGCTTGGAAGAAAGATGAGGCTCTGCTTCTGTAAAGATTTATAGTGTCAGAAAAAACCCTATAGAGTCACTATGAGTCAGAAGCAACTTGATGGCAGTGGGATTTGTTGTTGTTGTTTTTAGTATTTAGACCTGTAGAATAATTTCCTCTTCTTTTCTTTCTCTTTTGCTTCACACGCGTAGGGATCAATAGTTGTATCTTAGATGACCACTCAAAATCATTTAGGACTCCAGACACTAGTCGCTAACCTAAGGCGTAGTACATAAACTTTATGAATTATGACAATTGTCTGAGTTGTCCTACAAGATTATTGTCCTAGCCTCTAAACACAGTAAGCCAGTCCCAGTAACAGTAAGGCACTTGGTTATGTCTAGAAAGCATCTGTATCTGTGTGTCCTTTGTGCTTATATGAATATGTATGCAATACATCCATGTATATATATATATATATATATATATATATATATATATATATGCCTAGCCTACAGATATGCTATGCATGCACCTCTATATATACACATATCTTGCTATGCATATATATGCATACATACATACTTATGTAACCACACACGTTTTTTGAGTGTTTATTGCTTTTGTTGCAAAATTGCATGTGTTAGAGCATTTATTAAAAATGTCCTTATTCCTGTGTTTCATAAGTGTCATCATTTACTTTGATCAAGTTCACCCACGTTTAGTATTGCTTTTTCCATCACACAAATAGCAAGTGTTTACCTCCCTCCCCATGTCATCACTGATAATCACCAATGGATATTGATTGTTTATATATCCCTATTATTTTATAAAAAATTGCTATTTGTCTTTTTAGTTTTCTTGCTTTCACTCAGCATAATGTCCTCCAGATTCAAATACATTCTATTTGCAAAACTTATCACTATGTTTATAATTACGTAGCATTTCATTGTATGTACCAAAATTCATTTATCTATTCATCCATTCACAGCACTCAGTTCCTTCTTTATGCTATTATGAACAATCCTACAGTGAACACAGTTGCACATTTGTCTCCATCTCATTCTTATTAGATATCTAGAGTACATCCATAAGGATGAGATTGCTAAATCTTAAGGTAATTCAATTTCTAGTTTTCAAGAATGTGCCATGTCATTTTCCATAGAGATGGTACCATTTTACAGTCCTACCAGCAATAGATAAGGGTTCCAGTCTTCTAATGTTCACCAATATTTCTTGTCTGTTTTCTTAACCAGTCCCATTTATGCAGGTGTGAGCCTAATACTTTTTTATATAAAGCAAACAGGTGAGCACTTATTGTCATAATTCATATTATATATTGTATTATCTTTAGTGGTCTTATATTGAAAGGACAAATTATTTTCCCCTAACTTTCCCCCTTCATTAGAGCACTGGAGATTTACATATTTGAACCTTACCAAAGATAAGATTAAGTAACTTAAGTGATATAAAGATAAGTAAGACATAGGCCTTCTCTTTGATAAGCTCCCATGTAGAAGGGAAAGGAACAAGAACACTTACATTCATGACGTTGATAGGCTAAACATGAAGTAATGGCTTTCTCAACTTTCAAAAATATCTTCACTTTTTTTTGTGTTAGAAAACATTCATCTTGATATATGATCAGAAGTTATGGTTATGTTTTAGTTGCAGATACATTTTAGCAGCAAGTTTTTTTTTCTTTCAAAAAACGTATCTTTCACCACTTCATTTCAGAGAAAAAATGGCTCAAGCATATGACTTTGCACTGGATAAAATTGGAATGGAAATTATGTCGTACCAGGTAGAGTTACATTTTTAATATATATTCAATACTCAATAGACTTGAAAATAGCCCCAAATATTAACATTTTGTTTTATTTCTTAGATTTGGGTAGACTATATCAACTTCTTAAAAGGCGTGTAAGTATTATTGTACTTTTGTTTTTTATGTAAAAAGTTTATTTATCTATAAATTAAATAACATAATTGATGGCAATTCATGTCTAATCTCAGGGAAGCCGTTGGATCCTATGCCGAAAATCAGAGAATAACAGCTGTCCGAAGAGTTTATCAACGAGGTTGTGTTAATCCAATGATCAATATTGAACAACTCTGGAGAGATTATAACAAGTATGAAGAGGTAAATTTAGATCAGAAGTAATTTATTTTATAAGCACATATCTATTTTTTTAATCCATGGTGAATTCAAATCTCTCTAGCAGTCAGACCAGAACTATTTCTAATTTTTTTAAGGTTTGATACACATTAGTGCTATTTTTCAGAGTAGTCTAAGAGAAAAACAATTCTTATAAAACTCTTATTCACTGGTGAACCACATTTACACAGACACACACATACACTTTGTCATTTACCAGATCTGGATGGATACCTTTATAGAATTGTTTTTTCAGTAGTAATCATAAATCACCTGTTCCCCCTCATTACAGAAATGTGATCCTATGCTTGTCATTGGGTCCTGACTCATGGCTACCCCATGTGTATAAAGTAGAAGTAATCTGAAGGGTTTTAAAGAAGCAGATTAGAAGTCTGCCAAGCCTATCTTGTCTCTGAGGAGCTTCAAGCTGCCAACTTTTTGGTTAGCACACAAGAGCATAATCATTTTTGCCACCCAGGGACTCCAGAAATATGATTATTGGCATGCATTTATTAAATGTAGATTGTATTTTTGTTTCGTTGTCATTATGCTTTAAGTTATGCAGCCCATATAAGCAAATATACATGCCGCATAAGTTCTATCATTAAAAGGATATTCCTCATGTCTATTATAATTTAGATTAATTCTGCTATTGTTAGATGAAATCATCTATTGATGTAAATTAGATCCAGTTGTTGATGGGACTCTTCAGTTCAACTATATCCTTTCTGATTTTCTTCTTGCTGAACTGCCTGTCAAATTGCAAACAGAAGGTGTTTATCGCCAACGTTATTTTTTTTCTTGCAATTCTATCAGTTTTTACCTTGTATACTAATGCTCTGTTGTTAACATGCATATACATTCAAGACTGTTAAGTATATTTGAATTGAATTCTTTTTAATTATGTAATGTCCCTCACTATCTTTGATGATGTCTAAAATTAATATAGCTACTCTAGCTTTCTTTTAATTACTGTTAGCATAATATATCATTCATCATTCCTTTATTTTTAATCTGTCTGTGTCTTTATATTTTAAATTGGGTTTTTTTGTGGTTTTTTTAAATCATTTTATTGGGGACTCTTAGAGCTCTTATCACAATTTGTAAATACAGCTATTGTGTCAAACACCTTTTGTACATGTTGCCAGCATCATTTTCAAAACATTTTCTTTCTATTTGAGCCCTTGCTATCAGCTTATTTCTCTACTCTCCCTTCCTCTTGAACTCTTGATAATTTATAAATTATTATTTTTTATGTCTTATACTGATTGCTGTCTCCCTCACCCACTTTTCTGTTGTCCGTCCCCTTGGGGGGAGGGAAGTAGGATTTTTTTTTTTACAATTCAAGTTTTATTGACTTATAATTCACATCATACAATTCAATAGTTCAATCACATCAAGAAAAGTTGTACAATAAAAAAATAAATAAAAAGACACCACCACACTGTTTTAGAAAATGCTCTTCATTTTTGTACAACTCATCGTTATTTATTAACTTCTCATTTCTTCTCAACCTCCCCTGCCATACCTCCAAGGGACCATTAATACAGTTACTGTCTCTATAAATTTACCTATCCTGTGTTTGATATACAGAAAAACATTAAAAACAAACAAATAAAAAACACTGCTAACAAAATTAAACACAAACACTTCAATCAAAAAGAAAAGAGAAAATATTAAAAACCAGAATAAATTTAAATAAGGGAGTTCAAATGATAGTGTGCTAAATTTTAACCTAACTGTATCTGCAACAACTCATGAAATAAGTTTCTTACAGACAGCGTATGAGATTGCTTTTAAAAGTTTGTAGAAAAGTTCAGTGTAATCTTTTAATTAAATTTTTAACAGTTTTATTGGCACTCCATCCACATATACAATTCAGTAGCTCAAAATTGAATTTTTTCATAACCTTTCTGAAGGCCTCTCACATTGCTGGCTCTTGTGTTTTATTCATTCTTATACTGTCTTTTGTCATATTTTGAGTTCACTTTCAAATAACACTATACCACTTCACAGTTGTATAGCTTACAGCAAAGTATTCCCAATTCCGTCTCCCTTCCCTTATCTTACTACTAGCATTTATTGATTGATTGATTGATTTATAAGCTGTAGTCAACCAATATATTGTTTTTCTTATTATTTGACCAAATTGATCAGTTAAAAATAACAAAAATAAAAGATTTTGTTTTTCCTTCATTTATTCTTTCTCTAATGCTCTTCCTTTCTTTATATAGATTCAAGTTTTTGACTTCTGTAATTTTTCTTCTCTCTGAGGAACTTCTTTTAACATTTCTTGCAAGGCAGGTCTACTGGTGACAAATTCCCTCAAATTTTGTTTGCCCAAGAAAGTTTTTATTTCTCCTTCACTTTTGAAGAATAATTTTTCTGGATACAGAATTCTAGGTTAGTGGGTTTTTCATTTTTCTTTTTTTCTGAGAAGTCTGGTGTAATTTTCATTCTTATTCCTCTTTGGGTAAGATTATTTCCTCCACTGAATTCTTTCAAGATTTTCATTTTCTGCCATTTGAATATAACATGCTTTTGGAATAGGTTGTTTGTTTTCACTTATCTTGTTTATCTTTTAATTTTATTTATCAGAGTGTTCTCTGAGCTTCATGGAGCTATAATTTGATATTTATCATATATTTTGGAAAATTCTCAGCCATTATGACTTCAAGTATTCTTTATTTCTTTCACTTCGTATTTATATGGCACATTCTGTATTTTGTAAATTGCTCTACAGTTCTTGGATATTCTGTACCAATTTCCCCACCATTTTTTTCTCTTTGCTTTCAGTTGAAAAGTTTGTATCTTCACGCTCATTGATTCTTTCCTTGAGTTGATTCTTTCCTTGAGTGTGTCTAGTCTTCTAAGAGCCCATCAAAGGCATTCTTTAGTTCTGTTACCTTTTTTAAGAATTTCTAGCACTTTTTTTTTTTTTTTGGTTCTTAGAGTTTCCATCTCTTCCTTTAGCAATCTGTTCTTGCACGTTGTCTATTTTTTCTTTTGGAACCACTAGCATATTAATCAAAGTTCCTGGAAACCCTGGTGTGATCATTCTAAGACCTGTTTTAAATGAATTTAATTTTGTTGTCTTGTGTATCTTTTCAGACTGTGTTCTATGTCTTTTAGAATCCCTTATAAATTTTTGTTGAAAGCTAAACAAGATATATTGGGTAAAAAAAAAAAAACCAACTAAGGCTAATAGACCTCTAATGTGAGGTTTGATGTTTTTCTGTGTTAAACTGTTAACGGTTTGCTTTAGCTACAGGTGTGTCAGGCTAAAATTTCCTGTAGTCTTTGTCTCATCTGTTGTCATTGGGTTTCTTTAGAAATGTCTTCAGGGGAAAAAAAAAAAAGAAGAAATGTCTTCGTAAATAGAGTTTGAGTTATATACGTCTTTCAATTTGAATCCCTTATTATTATTTAAAGAACTTATGCATGTGATGATAAGGTATGGAGAAAGGAATATGTCCTATAAGACGGTGAAGTCTCCATCATTATATGTAATAACTAGATAGATAACTGAACTGTAACTTCACACACATGAACATTGGTTCTGAAACTATTCTTGGGATTTAAAAAAATTATTGAAGACCCCAGAGGGTTGTTTTGTGTTATTGGTCATGGTGTTTTTGATGTGGCTTATGTCTGTCAATATATAATATATTGGAAGTTATTATCACCTGAAATTCCCTGAAGTGATACAGCCAATTTACCCACTCCCAAATCAGAGGAAGAAAAAGTTTTTATTGAGAAAGTATACAGCCAAGAGCCAACAGCAGTGCAAAACAGATAGGCTCTGCAGTGTCCTGTTGGAAATCTGAATACATATAGGAAATATACCTTTGATTTTGGAATTTATACTTTGGGGAGTCTTACAGATGTACTTTAACTCAGCTTTCAGAGTAAGCAAGGGAAACAACAGTTGACCGTGAGCAAGCAAACAGAACAATAAGGTGCTTTAAGTCTAAGGCCAGTCTCAAGATACCTTTGTTGATTAAGCAGGGCCTAGCTTTTAATCACAGTCAGGTACAAGGGTAAACAAAGGAAGATTCTTGGCGTTATCTGGCCCTTTGAGGTAACGTCCCCATCCAATCAGCCAGCTTTTGAACAATGTTGCAAATTATAAAAATCCCATAGAGACGGCAGTAAGTAAATACTCTAGGCTAACTATTTTGTATGGGGGATTTTCTAATCTTATTCAGTAAAACAACATTAGAACTGAAACATTTTCAAGTTGCTCAGATTTTAACTTACATTTTATTTTGACAACTTTAAAAAAACTTTTCAAAACAACATCTCAAAACAAGATTGAAATTGTTTAATATGATTGCAGGTCTCCTTAATACCCAATTTAATGGAAGACAGGTATATTTTCATTATACGATAGTTTCTGGGAAATTCCACTGTCTTTGTATGAAGGAAGCAAAGAGTCTTAGGGACCAGAAATCCTTAGACTATCCTATTAAAACTGCTAGGCTTAAAAAATAAATTAAAAAAAACCAAAAACCTGCTACCTTAACTGGTAGTATTTCTCTCTTTTTTCACACTGAATTTTTTTGTTCAGCTATTCAGTCATAGTTGTTAGGAAATAGGCTTTTAATAGTTGAGGCATGGCTATTCTGTCTGCACATCATTCTTTACTAGTTGAATTTTATTTGAAATAATCCTTTTCAAATCATTTTCTATCTTTAAAAATTCCCAGTACATGTAAAGTTACTGCTGAATTGTGATAGACATGAGCAAGCTCCCCTTGATCTCTGAAGTTCATACTACTACTGAAGCTTTATTTTACTAATCAAAAATATTTCAAAATAAAAACATTCAAATAATTCACTAAATGAATACGCTAACTATATTCTGCTAGGTACACACATTGCATTTAATTTTAAGTAATGTACATTTCCCTTCTTTTGTTTTTTCCATTAGGGTATCAATATTCATTTAGCTAAAAAAATGATTGAAGATCGAAGCAGAGATTACATGAACGCTAGGCGTGTAGCAAAGGTATGGAATGCCATCAGTCCATTTACTTTAATGAGTTTTATTTATGGGAGAGCCTTTTCTGTATAGTGTTACTCATTTTTACAAAACAATTTTGTCATATGATTCATATACCATAGAATTCAGTTGTTTAAATATATTAAAAAGAGTTATGTAATCATTACCACTATTAATTTTAGAACATTTCCTTCATTTTGTATCTATTATTATTTCCCTAAACTCTCCCCTGCCCAAACCCAAAGACTTTATAAATTTGGTTACTATCTTTATAGATTTACCCACCTATCCTAGATCTCACATAAAGAAAATCAGTAAAATATAGCTCTTCACTACAAAGAAGGAATTGGCTATCCACTTCAGAGGAAGTGGCTGCTGAAAACCTTATGCATAACATGAACACACTGTCAGATACTGAAGGCTTAATGAATGGAAGTAGAACGTTGTCAGAGATCGTCCCAGAGGATAGCTCTCACCGGTCAGAAGCCATTTGAAATATAACTGAGGAGAAGTTGATTTCTCAAAGTCGAGTCAACGATGGTGACGTGAGTGGAGTAAAACCTTGGGGATCTTCATTTGCTGATCAGGCTCAACTCAAAATGAGAAGAACCAGCTGCAAAATCTACAAATCATCAGAACTTGGAATGTACAAATATGAATCTAGGAAAACTGGAAGTCAGCAAAGCAAAAATGAAGCACGTAAAGATTGATATCACAGGTGTTCGTGAGCTGAAATAGACTGGTATTGGATTGGCCATTTTGAATCAGAAAATCATGGTTTATCATGCCGGGAATAACACATTCAAAAGGAATGGGTTGCATTCGTTGTGAAGAGGAGATTTCAAGATCTCTCTTGAAGTACAGTGCTGTCTGTGATAGGATTCTATTGGGCTCTCTTCAAAGAAATCCAGTCAATACAATTATTATTCACATTTATGCACAACCACTAATGCTAGTGATGCATCAATTGAAGAACTCTACCAACATCTTCAGTCAGAAATGGATCAGATATGCAATCAAGATGCATTGATGGTATTTGCCATTGGAATGAGAGTTGGAAACAAAAGAGAAAGAACAGTCATTGGAATATATGGTCTTGGTCATAAAAAATGAAGCTGGAGATCACATGATCTCATAGCAAATACCTTTTTTCAACAACATAAAAGATGATTATACACAGACTTCTCCATATGGAATACACAGAAACCACATTGAACACGTCTGTGTGAAGAGACAAAGGAGAAGATCAGTATCATCTGATAAAAACAGGCCAAGGGCTGACTGTTAATCAGACCATCAATTGCTCATATGTAAATCCATGTTGAAGCTGAAGAAATTGAAAAGTCTAGGAGAGGCAAAATATAGCCTGAGTCTCTCCCAGCAGAATATCAAGACCATCTCAAGAACAGATTTGCTGCATGAAACACTAATGACAGAAGACTTGATGAGCTGTGGGAGGACATCAAGAACATCATTCATGAAGAAAGCCATTAAAAAGTACGATAGCTGTGGTGGTGATTGTACAATTCCCCTCGATAATGATTGAAAGATTGAACCACTCAATTGTGTGGTTTGTAAATTATGTACCAATAAAACTTGAAAAAAAATGAAATGATAAGAGAAAAAGAACGGATCAAATTATATGTCAGAGCAGACTCTGAAACTTAATCTTAGAATAAATAGCTAAGGCAAATGGAAGAAATAATGAAATCAAAGAGCTGAACAGAAAATTTCAGAGGGCAGCTCAAGAAGACAAAATCAAATATAATGAAATATGCAAAGACCTAGAATTAGAAAACCAAACAGGAAGAACACACTCAGCATATGTTAAACTGAAAGAACTCTGAAAAAATTTAAGCCCCAAATTACAATATTGAAAGATTCCATGGGCATATGGAATGATGCAGGAAATATCAAAAGAAGATGGAAACAATACAGAGTCACTCTACCAACATTTTAGGAGGTAGCATGTGAGCATCTCCTTCAAAAGATGTTCAAGTTGCACTGGAAGCAAGGCTCCAGGAATTGGTGGAATGTCAATTGAAACGCTTCAACAAGCTGATAAAGCGCTAAAGCACGTACTTGTTTATGCCAGGCATGTAGAAGGCAGCTACTTGACCAACTGATTGGAAGAGATCCATATTTGTACCCATTCCAAAGAAAAGTGACCTAACAGAATGCAAAAATTATAGAACAATATCATTGATAGCACCACCAAGCAAAATTTTGCTGAAGATTATTCAACAGCAGTTGTAGGAGTGCATTGACAGGGTTCAGGCTACCAGAGGTTCAGGCTAGATCAGAAGAGGACATAGAACAAGGGATACCATTGCTGATGTCCGATAGATCTTGGCTGAAAGCTGAGAATACCAGAAAGATGTTTACTTATATTTTATTGACTGTGCCCCAAGGCATTAGAATGTGTGGATTGATAACCCTGAGAAGAACAGGAATTTCAGAACATTTCATTGTGCTTCTGTGGAATTGTACATGGATCAAAAGGCAGTTGTGTTTAAAATCAAGAAAGGTGTGAATCAGGGATATATCCTCTCGCCAGAGTTACTCAATCCCTATGCTGACAGGCATCAGAAAAGCTGGATTAAATAAAGAAGCATGCAGTGTCAGGATTGAAGGGTGGCTTATTAACAACCTTTGATAAGCACATGGCACAGCCTTGCTTGCTGGGAGTGAGGAGGACTTGAAGTACTTGCTGATAAAGATCAAGGATTTCAGCCTTCACTCTGGACTCCAACTCAATGTAAAGAAAACCAAAATCCTCACAACTGGAATAATAGGTAACATGATAAATGAAGAAAAGGCTGAAGTTGTCAAGGATTTCTTCTTGCTTGGTTCCACAGTCAATGTTCATGGAAGCAGCAGTCAAGAGAACAAAAACCATATTGCCTTGGTTAAATCTGGTGCACAAGACCTCTTTAGAGTCTTGAAAAGCAAGGAGGTTATTTTGAAGACTAAGGTCACCCAACCCAACCATAGTATTTTCAATCCCCTCCTGTGCATAGGGAGTTGGGAACTGGATGAGGAAGACTGAAGAAGAATGGATGCATTTGAATTGTGAGGTCGGAAAATAATATCGAAAAGACCGTGGAGTGCCAAAAGGACAAACCTGTCTTGAAAGCAGTACGGCCAGAACGTTCCTTACAGGCGAGGAGAAGTGAGATTTTGTTTCTTGAACTTTGAGCATGCTGTTAGGAGAAATCAGTCCCTGGAGAAGGACATCATGCTTGGTGAAGAAGAGGGACCGTGAAAGAGGGCCCTCAAGGAAACGGGCTGACAAGCAGCTCTAACAAGGGGCTGCAGCATAGGAACCGTGGTGAGGGTGGTGTTGGAGCGCTCGTGTTTCTTCCTGCTTTGCATAGGGTTGCTATGGGCCGGAAACAACTGGATGACACCTAACAACAACTGCAGCAGCTCTTGACCACTAGCAATCTTACCTAAGGATAATTAAGTCCGCTGTCTGAGTAGATGATATGTTTGGAATGAAATTCCTCTTAACACGTACATTAAAGGACAGATAGAATAAGTCAAATAAGAGAAATTGTATTTCAAAAATATAAAAACAGAGGATGGAGAAATCGTTTCTACCTTGGATGAAAGAAGTAATTCTTATCCTTTTCTCACATCTGTACATCTGAATACTGTACTAATATGATTTAATAATAGAACCCTTAGAAACAGATTTTTAATATAGGTAATTCCTCGTCTTCCCTACATCTCATTCTTAAATAGTTTTAAGTAATTTTACCAAAGTGGTATTTGCAAAGAATGGGTATTTCAAACCAAGTATTCCAGACTGAACAATTCCATCCCATATTCCTGAGTTTTTTCTACTGACCATACAATTCTAAATACTTCTTGTTTAGGAATATGAGACAGTAATGAAAGGTTTGGATCGCAATGCCCCCTCCGTGCCTCCTCAAAATACTCCTCAAGAAGCTCAGCAAGTAGATATGTGGAAAAAATATATACAGTGGGAAAAGAGCAACCCTCTTCGTACAGAGGATCAGACCCTCATAACAAAAAGAGGTAACACGTTTAGCACTCGTGAGACAATTGTGTATACGTATGTTAGACTAGCTACTGCTATCCCATAGGTCACTGAGGCTCTGGCTTTCCCTTTACTTTTCTTATCTTTGATTCTTTGTATTAGGTGATTTCTATAGGTGTCTATTCATGATCACTGACGGGTTTTTTTGGTGGTTATATATTGGGCTGCTAACCACAAGGTCAGCAGTTTGAAATCACCAGTTGCTCCACGGGAGAAGGATGGGGCTTTCCTCTATTAGTCTCTGGGGTGGTTCTACCCTGCCCGCTAAGGCTACTATGAGTTGGGATTGACCTGATGGCAGTGAGTTTGTTTATTTATTTGTTTTTAATCTGCTGTTAAGCCATCTTATCGGTTTTTCATTTCAGATATATTTTCCTGTTCTAGAAGCATCAATCATAGAATTTTTTTTATTTTTTATAATTCACTTTTATAATGGTCTGTATATTCATGATAGCCATCTTTTTCCTTTATGTTCTTGAACATATTTATAACAGTTGTTATAAAGTCCTTGTCTGCTAATTCCAACATCTGGCCCTCGTATGGTTGATTTCTTTTGACAGCTTTTCCCTTCATTATGGATTACAATGTTCTTTGTTGTCACATAGCTAGGCATTTAAATTTTTTCTTTTGCATACTCTCCAAATACACAAATGATGTTACAGACAGTCTGGATTTTGTTATTTTACTCTTCAAAGTGGTAAGTTTTACTTTAGTAGGAAGTTAAATAATTGGCAGGTCACCTGGATCTTGTAGAAGATTGGTGTTATATTGTTAGGACAGATTTGTTTCATTTTTCTATACTCTTACAATACATTTCTTAGTCCTACGCCATATCTTTTTCACTCCTAAGGAACAACCTTATGAAGATTTTAATGGGAAGGTTGAAAAATACTCAAACCTGTTACCTAGACAGAACCCAAATTCTAGATTTGGTTTCTCCTTTTTAATGGACAGCTCCTGAAGTATCTTTCAACCTTTTTGCAGCTTCATTTTCCACTGGATTATTTGTATTCTTTCTTGCCACTTTGCATTTTAAGAGGCAGCTAAGGATTTGATGGGACTGTATGGCCAGGTATTCAGCTCTATAGTCTCTTTCGGTCCTTTCTTTTAGAGATAGCCCTTTCACTTGGCAGCTGCTGTTCAGAACTCCACCCTCTGCTATCTGCAAATAGCTCGGCAGCCTTCGATTTTAATCCTAGCTTCCCCCAAACCGCACAGACTTGGATGAACTTGTTGTATTAGTTTGTAGGTCAGCCATAAATAATTGTCCCAAACTTGGTGGAAAACAGCAATGTGTTTTCTCAGTGTTTAAGAGGCTCAAAGTCTAAATTAGAGTGCTGGCTCTAAAGGCCAGGGCAGGAAACTTTTTTCTGCCAAAGACTATTTGGATACTTAAAACACCATTCACAGACCATACAAAATTATCAACTTAAAAATTAGCCTGCTATATTTGCTATATTTTATTCACTTGCCCTTAATATGATGGCTGGAACTGCTTCTCTTTGTTGAGGCCTGTGACATTAGCTGCTATGGATGATTCCTCAGGCCTTACTTACCCAGCTGGCAAGCCAAATATTCCCTACCCAGCTCAAGAGGGATATTTTCTCTCTATTGGCTCTGGAAGAAGATCTTTGTCTCTTTTAGCCTCTGCTCACGGGCTTCTATTTTTCCCCATGTCTGCTTCTCTCATTTGCTTGTTTAATCTCTTTTATATATTAGAAGAGACATACTTAAGATATACCCTACACTAATCCTGTTTCATTAATATAACAGAAAGCCCATTCCAAAATGAGATTGTATCTACAGGCATAAAAGTTAGACTTTATGAGGGTAAATAAGAGTTTTGTTAATAGGGTTCATACCTGCATTGGTTGATTCCAAACAAAATTTATTTAGATATGTTTCTGTGACCAGTAGATGATGGCATATACATTTTCTCAGTAATACACTTGTCTTAGCCTCATTCCAAGCCTCCAAATTCAATGCCTTCACGCCAATCCCAACTCATGGCAACCCTGTACGGCAGAATAGAACTGCCCCTCAAGGGTCTTAGTCTGTAACACTTAACGAAAATAGAAACCCTAGCTTTTTTCATGCAGAGCTTTCCTGTGGTTTTGAACAGCTGGCTTATCAGGTAGCAGGGCATAACCACTATGCCACCAGGGCTCCTTTGGTCCTGTCAGGGTGCCTTTGAAAACAAGATTCAAGGGAAACAGTGCCTTCCAAGGGGACCTGCTGAGCTAGTTCGATTCAGGACCTAGAGGTTCTGAAGGTCAGCTCAGAAGGTTGGGAAGGCCGGGTTTTTGGATTCCAAAGGAGTAATCTTGATATAGATTCTCATAGAGACTTATTAGGAAGATAATTTAAGAAAACTGAAACTGCATTGGTGAGCAAAAGGCCAGGAAAGTTGTACCAACGCATCATAGAATTCTTCAGGGAAGGGTTAAAGAGATGGAAAATTGCCTTCAGAAGTGTTTAGACCTAGATAGGGGGATATGTTGAGGAACAATAGCTTCACATTTTGATATTTTTGTTTAATAAAGTTTTTATTTTTGTAGCAAAACTTTATTTAATCTAAACTTCAAGGTTCAAACTGAAAAAACACTTTTTGTTTGTTGTTGTTTTTTTCCCCATAAACATTTTATTGTGAATTGGGTGAAAACTTGCAGAGCAAGTCATCAGTTTTACATTCAACAATTCATATACATTTTATTTCATTGATTACAATCCCCTCACTATAACACAATTTATCTCACATCCTCTCTGTTTCCTGTTTCCATCCTTCCTTTTTTCCTAACCCTCTGAACTGTGTTTTTAGGTAAACGTTGCCCATTTAATCCTAATTGTTTTGACTTCCAATACTAGGAGAGGTTCAGTTCCAGATGTATAGGGTGACTAAGGGCCATTGCCCCAGTGGTCCCTCTGTCTCTTTCTGATCAGCAAGAATGGTCTCTTTTGATTCTGAGTTTTGTTCTACCCTTTTCTCTCACTCTACTCTGTGATAATATGATCCCTATAAGAGCAATTGGTAGTGGTCTCTCATCACTATTTAGTTCTGGTTCCGGGATCATGAAGACCTAGGTTCTCCTGGTCCATCTGCCATTAACTAATTATTTCCCTATGTCTTCAATGTTCATCATTATTCTTTCCTCTGAGCAGGGAAAGACCAATGGTTACACCTAGTGGCGGCTCACAAGCTTTTAAGGCCCCAGTTGCTACTCACCAAAGTAGGGTGTAGAATATTGTCTTTGTGGACCATGTTATACTAATTGACCTTGATGTCTCCTGAGCTTCCGAGTTCAGTGGCTCATTCCCTTAAGGTATTTGGTTATATTTAAGAAGTTTGCATAACATGTATATTCCACCACTTGCATGGACATAGTTCCTACAGAAGTAAATTCTCAGGCACAACTATCCTGTGTCAAACTTAAGAATATTTGTGGGTATACTCCCACTGTCCCCCCCACACCTGTTCATTCAGCCTAGGTATCTATCTGTGCGTCTTTTCAGAGGTCAGCAGTGTTTCAGGACAGATTCTCTGTGCACTTTAACTCTTGCACTCTTTCCAGTGTCTTCCCTGGCTCCATCATTTTTGTTTTGTTTTGGTTTTTTGTGGCAATACCTTTTTGATTAATATAACCTTGTGTGGCACACAGATTTGGGGGAGATGAAAGTTCAATCCATAATGTTATTAGGCCAATTAACTAGAAAGTCCCACCAAACCATGACTGTAAACCTCCAAGGACCCATAGGAATTCCCCTCACGCCAACTCCTCAATGCCGCTTCCTTTGCCCATGCTATTTTGTATCTGCCCTTGCCCTCCTGTCCCTCCTGCTCTACGTTTCTCTCATCTGACCAGTTTCTGTCTCATTTAGGCTTTACTGTCAACATTGCCTTCTTAGTAAAGATTCTTTTCAGTGCTCATACTGCTTAGACCTTTTATTATTCTTGTCTTAATGTCTGTCTCTCCATATACTGTAGACTTCTCGGGTATAGAAGTCTTATTCTTAGGTATATCCAATAGTGCCTTTATATTCCCAAACATATAGTTGGTTCTTAATCAATATTAATAAATGATGGATTCTAGGGTGGATAGCGCTGCTAGAAATCACTACGGTTTTCATTTCTGATCACCACTCATTGTTTAGTACCTTGCCATGGCTAAACATTTAGTTGTAATATTTTTATTGATCGTTTTACAAAAAATATTTATTTTACTGAACTGTTGCTTGTAAATGTTTTCTTCTAGTTATGTTTGCATATGAACAGTGCCTGCTTGTTCTGGGCCATCACCCCGATATTTGGTATGAAGCTGCGCAATATCTGGAGCAGTCAAGTAAACTGCTAGCAGAGAAGGGGGTAAGTACTCCCTCGTCCCTTTAAGAGTGGTTATAGTTTAATGATTTAAAGTGATGAATCATTGATTTTTATAGAAGTTAAAATCATGGAAAAAGCAAAAAAAAGGGAAAAGCTTTGGAATATTTTTATAAGAAATTCAGATGTTTATTAATATGTACACATACAAAACAACGTATATCTCAGATACACATAAAATACAATAGATGTAATTTTATTATCTTTCCTTGCAACCATATTGAAATGACTGAAGTAGAGCTTTCCTTAAATTTTTTTCTCCTAGGATATGAATAATGCCAAATTGTTTAGTGATGAAGCTGCTAATATATATGAAAGAGCCATAAGCACTTTATTAAAGAAGAATATGCTGCTTTATTTTGCATATGCAGATTATGAAGAGGTGAGTAAAAATGTTTTTAACTTAATTGCAATTCATTATTTTAACACAGGAGTGAATTTAGTTTCTGGCTGCTCCTGAACCAGGTATAATATGTGCATTAGAAATAATGCAAATTGAATAATTATTAGTCCTTAGTTGGTGCTATAAGTATGCACCATTGTGGAGTGTAGCCTCTGGATTCCTACAGCTCAAATCCTGCTTGTTTGTGAGTCTGCATTTATCTTTCATTCTTCTCTCCCACTTCAGAGTCGCATGAAGTATGAGAAGGTTCACAGTATATACAACAGACTTCTAGCAATTGAAGATATTGACCCTACCTTGGTGAGTAGCCTTATAGATGGTTTCCCTACCTTTACAGTCTGATTTTTAAAAGTTTAGTTCCATTCAGTAAAAGTCACTCCTGTTGGTGTACAGTTCTGTGATTCTTTATAAAGTAAGTCATGTGAGCACCATCACAATTGCAATGCAAATCCTCTCCATCATCACCTGCTGCTGAATTCCTCAGGTGGCTTATCAGAGTGACCACTTCTCTCCTGAAACCCTGGGTAATTGTTGACCTGTTTCCTGCTGGGCTTTTCTTTTTTAATCCACTTGTCACCACATAATTGTTGTCGAATACATATTTTTTGTAAGTAAATGGGGACAGGAGAAAGCAGCATCTCAGAGAAGGACTAGACAGGAACTCTATAGCTGTGGCTGTCAGCACCCTGAGTGTCTGCTAAGTGCAGTGGTGCCCTCAGAGGGGGCAGACCAACAGGTGGACTCTAGATCCTCTCCAGGCCATCTAGAGCTACCCTGGGTTTTTCCTTTTTAGGTGGGGATTCTACTTACATATTATTTTTTTCATTAGTTCAGCAAATAGTTTTGTGTTATGTACTGTGCTATTCTCCAACAATAGACTAACAAATTGAAAACAAAAGCCAAAAAACACCTTGTGTTAGACAGGGTCCTCTAGAGAGATAAAACCAAATTGCTGATAATTTATTTATTTATAAAGATAATTAGATATATAACAAGAAATGAACTGTTAAATCATATACAGATAAATATATAATACAAGAAACAGTTATATTATAAAGCAGTACAAATGGCTCAGTGCAACTCACTCCCGTGACAGAGTTGTGCGACACTAGCAGTCCTTCATGTCTAGTCTGCTGCCAGGTTTTCCTCTATACAGAGAGAGAGCTAGGCTATCTCAGCACAGCAGCCAATCACAAGGCAGGTCACCAACTGTCAGCCAGGTCACCAACCGCCAGTCCTCAGCTCCAGAGATGTCTTAAAGGGACCTCAACTTACAGCAACACAGTTCACAGGCTAGGCGTCCCAGAGGTAGTGTAGCCTGTAAATTGAGGCACAGAACAAGCAAGGCAGCCGCACACTGGTCCGATGATCAAAGAGTGAGAGCCAGAAAGGCGAGGCTCACCGAGCCATTTATCTCACCACCCTTCAGTTAATCCCACTTGTGTTTATCGGCCAGGCTGGCACAATAAACTATCTCACACCTTTTCCTCAAATAACTGATAGTTAGAATCATAATTTGTGTTAGTCCAGTTTGACTAGAGAAACAAATCCAGAGCCGCTCAGATAGGTGCAAAAGAGAGCTTTATTATCAAAGAGCAATTGCATTCACTCTTAATATCCTCAAGTTGACATGAAATTATGTAACTACCACATCAACTGTCCTGATTTTCATAAAAGTTGGGATTTTTCTGAGAAATGGGACATTAGATTTTAAAATATTGACAGCTCTGGTCAAATGAAGATGAGTGTTATCCTAGTACTAGTGTAGAGGCTAGGAATTTGCAGGCTCTTTGTGTTTTTGGCACGCTATAGGTACTGCATGTAATACAGCTCATTAGTTTATTAGTCAAAGTAATCAATCAAAAAGTTGTATTATGTTGTCTTCTCTCACTGCCATCGAGTCAGTGTCGATGCATTGCAACTCCTGTGGGTTTCTGAGACTGTAACTGTTCACAGGAGTAGAAAGCCCAGGCTTTCTCCCTCGGAGCTCCTAGTGGTTTCAAACTGCCCACCATGTAGATTACAGCCCAAAGCATAATCACGACACCACCAGGGCTCCTATTATGTCATCTTTGTGGGCTTTTAAACAATAAACCAAGAAAATGTGAAGTCAAACATGTATTGTTAAACACGCTTTTATTGAATAAAGCATTGAACTTTCTAGATGTTGGCATTTATTAGTGGAGTGTTTTCCAGTATTTTTTTTTTCTCCTTTGAAATCAATTTTTTGTTTTTTGGAATTAGCCAGTGGCGATACCTACGCTGCTTAAATATAAGCAAAATAACAATGAAGTATATACTTAAAATGGTGAATATTATATAAATCATAGTTCAATAAAAAAATAAACAAAAACTAATTTGCCCATAACTTTAACTCCCAAGTGGCTTTAAACCAGGCAGTATTTTCTAATTCTTGGGTATTCAAGATTGCTCTCTTAGAGTGTAGTAATAAAGTAAGCCTGCTTTAAATGCAAGAAAGATCATATTCAGTCATATTTATAGACTCCATACAGATGAACAATGGTTACTTTTTGCACAGGTATATATCCAATATATGAAATTTGCAAGAAGAGCAGAGGGCATAAAATCTGGAAGAATGATATTTAAGAAAGCAAGAGAAGATGCCCGGACCCGCCACCATGTCTATGTCACGGCCGCACTCATGGAGTACTACTGCAGTAAGGTAGGTACGGGGCACAAGCACAAATAAGGTGAGGTCGGATTCTTCATCTGAAAGACTGTTCTGGTTTGTCCTCAGACTTTAATGGTTCCCCAGTGTGCCTATGGGAAATTATGTGGTGCTTCATCCACATCCCCAATGCCTGCTAATGTATGCCTATACAAACTCCATATTTTTAACCCTCGTGAACATTTTTTAATAGTGGTAAAATATATATAACAAATACATAACATTTCACATTACAACCAATTTAATGTGTACAATTCAGCAATGTGTTAAGTATTACGTACCTCATCCTTATCTAGCGATTTCCAATTTTTTCCATCACCATTAATAAAAACCAGGTTCCTATTAAACAATAATTCCTCCCCCCACTCACCCACTCCTGGAAACCATTAAGTCCTTGGATAGTTTTTAATTTTAGCTTAGTTTACTTAATTTGTTTTTAATTCGCTTTAATTACTATGTAGCTTATCGTTGGCATCAGTATGTACTCTTTTTACTTCTAGGACAAATCTGTTGCCTTTAAGATTTTTGAGCTAGGGCTCAAGAAATATGGAGACATTCCAGAATATGTCCTGGCCTATATTGATTATCTCTCTCACCTTAATGGTAAGTAGACACTAAAATCTAGAACATTTACTTAATATTAAGCATTAATGCAATTCTCTTAAATGATGCTGATTTTTTTTCCTTCTCAAATGTATCACGATGTTATCACACCAGGATGGAACACTTGGTAGGCACTCAAGAAATATTGGGGCCTAGCAACAATAATTTACATTGCGTTACAGTAGATGTTCCTGACTCTGAAGAACAGGGTCTCCTACATCATCCATCAGCAGTGAGCCTGAGAGTTGTTTATGCCCATCTCTGCTGACTCCGGGCACAGCACTCCTCTCCCCCGAGGGGGACAAAAATGACAACAGTCTCTAGCCCCCGAAACTGAAAAATATCGATGGAGTAAAGAAAACTTGTAAGCTACTTGAGAAAGTATTTTTAAAAGAAATACTGTGTTAGCTTCTTTATTCTGTTATAATAAGAATTCCTTTATTGAGCTCCTACTCTATCAGGAACTGTGCTAAGTCATTAATATAGACATTATATTATAATTTAGTCTAGTTACCCACAGTCGGGGAAAGATAATTTCTCCACCAATGATCTGGTGTCAATGTTGATTTAGTGAAAGGTACACAATTATGTGCCATGGAAAAGCTGATTAAAATAGGTATCAAAAGCATATCAATTATTCTAATAGTGCGTCAGGAAAATATAGCATTCTGTATACTTTAGTGTAAGAGAATGAAACTTAAAATGTGGTTTTGTATTTCAGCTTAGTGACTCTACACTCTGGAAAAAGGCTTAACTTCAAAAAGTGAGATAGTAGGGCACGAGAAATTTAAAATATTAAATCAGTATTCCCCACCAATTTTATTTTCCTTGATTTTTTTAGTGCAGCTACTAGTATGCATACTTGTGTTGATATTCCGATCATTATATTTGACGTCAGCATTATTTTCTAAAATCAATGGCTAGTCTAGAGGGTTCCTTTTTCAAGCATTCACCCATCCGGCTTCATTTATCCCGTACCTCCCTGGTACCAAGATAGGGAGGTACAGGTGAACAGGCTCCATTCTACCCTTTCGGTCTGGTGAGGAAATCAGATGTGTACTTGTAATTGTACCATCATTTAGTGTTCATGATAGCATGACATCTGGGCTAGGCAGACTAGCTATGTAATCCTAAGAATGGTCTACAGAGTGGTCTTTAATAAAGTATCTGTCTCTTAAAGAATTGTAGAGATAAATTAGTTTTTAATGTGTTTAACTCATATGGAATGTAATCAATATTCCATAATTGTTAACTATTAATGATGATCATCACCATGGGAAGATGTGCTAAATATCATCATCGAGCCGTCAGTGAAGTGCGTTGGGCGCACAGTAAAGGGAGTATAATTTAAGTGCTAGCGCAGTGCAGTGCAGTGCAGTGACGGTCGAGTATGGAGCACTTGGGGTGTGCCAGTCCAAACTGACGTGTGGTATAAGTTAAATTACATTCTAGATTTCAAATACTTATTTTTTAAAAAGAAGCTAATTGAAAGACTGCTATGAAATAATTTGGACATATTACAGTCTACTTAGCTTTTTTATTTTATTCTTAAATGTAGCTAGCATAAAATTTTACATTACATATGTGGCTTCTCTTACAATTCTGTTGGACAGTGCTGTTCTAGAGGGGTCATAAGACAGGGAGCATGGACTCTGGCTAGGCGGATGAGCACTAGTCAGCCCAGTAGGGTGGCCAGCGAACCAGACAGGCAGAGAGTGTAGTAGCATATACACCAGCAATGGAAACACTATGTGGAATGCCAAAAATTATGTCTGAAGCTAAACTTGGGATAAACCAAAAGGCATAAAGATGTAAGTTTTTACTTATAATTTTTTGAAGTACAGTATATGAAATTGATGTTAAATCTGTGACTATCATGCCATCTTCTTTGGTTTAATTTGTATAGATAGTAAAACGAATCAGTACCTTGAGTCAATGAAATCCAATCACTCATTGGATTCTTTTCTGTTTTTTCTACATAATACATTTTACTCTATATCTAATTATTTATTTATATATAATTTATACGTTAAGTGCATCCATTTTAAGGGTATAATTCAATCCATTTTAGTAAATTTACCACTGACTTCCTAAAATTACAAAAATCTCTTTGAGTTTAGTAAGAAGTGTTATTTTCTCAATCCCAGCTACAAGAAAACCTCCCAAGACTTTTAAGGCTTAATCCATCTCTGGCCACCATTCTTAATTCATTTGCTACTTACATATTTACCTAGCAGGCACCCTCCACATTATCTTTTTATTTTTTAATAATAGTTATACAAGAATTTAGGGTAGTTTAGGTTACAGGAGGCCCAGGGCTTCCAAAGACAAGAGCCAGCTGTATCTAAATTTGAGCTTCTCGTCCTTCATATTCAATCCATTGTAAAAATGCTAAGAGTTTGACAATTATGATGTAAGCAGGTCTATAACTTTTCAAAGGCAAGTAGAATAAGACAAAAACCAAACCCTGATTTCCTGGAGTTCATTCCGACTCGTAGTGACGTGGTAGGACAGACAGAACCGCCTCAGGGGTTCCGAGGCTGTCACCTGTGCAAACAGACGCCTTTGCCTGTGATGGGCCTGATGAGTTCAACCAGTGGCCTTTCACCAAGCAGATGAGCACTTAATCACTCAGCCACCAGGATTCTTGTAAATGTGATCCACTGTGATAAAGTATTTTCCCTCATTTAAAAGTGCAGACTGAACTGGAAAGAAATGTCTCTGAATCTCTTCATAGTCGTCGTTCAATAGCAGGCCCAGATCAAAAACTAAATCTTTCTTAATCTCAATTTCCTCATTTATAAAAATTGGCTGTGGTAGTAGTTACCTTTCTGCATAGAATTCCTAAGAAGATTAAATGAGATAATGCATGTGCAAATACATTGTTGAATTGTAAAAATGAACTTCTTTTTAATATTTTCAATTGCTTTTAATATCCTAGAGGACAATAATACCCGAGTTTTGTTTGAACGAGTTCTAACCTCCGGAAGCCTTCCTCCTGAGAAGTCTGGGTAAGCACTGTGGAGACTTGTCAGCTTCTGCTTTACCCACTGCGTTGTGATCTATCATATAGCATCACACATTCATCTCTGAGATTGATCTGTGGGATGAATGTCTGAGTATGACATTCAAGAGAGATTACTCTTTGTTCGAGACTTACTTAACAAATATCGACTTGCAGTATTTCCATACCCATGTGGGATTATTATTTTTTATTAAAAGATCATTTTATTGGGGGCTCATACAACTCTTATCACAATCCATACATCAATTGAATCAGGCATGTTTGTACATATGTTGCCTTCATTTATTGAGCCCTTGGTATCAGCTTGTGGGATTATTTTTTATATTTTGAATAGTAATTCAAATGGTTTTGACAGACACTATAGCAATTTATTAAGTATTTAGTAAATCCTTCTAGTTACAATTCCTAGAAATGTATATGAACAATTTATAAAAGTTCTGAAACTTTTACCTTCCTTATTCTGGAGCATTTTTACCTTCCCTTACTTATTCTCAGAGGCTTGTAGTGGTTGCACATTGGGCTGTGATCTGCGGGGTCAGCAGTTCAAAAGCACCAGCAACTCTAAGAGAGAAAGGCTGGGCTTTCTACTCCCGTAAAGTTAGTCTCAGAAACCTGCAGAGGGGTCACTCTGAGTCAGCACTGACTCAGTATTTTAACTGATTAAAAGTTTGACTGTATTTTGTGACCTTACTTAATGGTTTGATCGGACAGGGAGACGGTGGAGTGTATCAGGGCCGTGTGAAGGCACGGGGTGAACACTCATGGGCTCAGCCTCGTGGGCCTTGGGCAGATTTCATGACCTTTCCACTCCTTGTTTCTCACTGAGTGACAATAAAGCTTTACAAACAGTTTAGGGTTATTCAGTGCTTATGTTGTTAGCTCAACAAGTAATATAATAGAAAGTATAACAGATTTTTAAATGTTTTTATCCATATACTATTGGATAAAGAATGCATCCTATACTATAACTCACCACTAAACCAGGGGTGGGATTTTTTTTTTTTTTTTTTTTTTGCCACTGGCTATTTGGGTATTTTTAACATAATTAGTGGGCTATACAAAATTACCAACTTAAACATTAGCCTACTACAGGTGATCAAACATGTAATTAACTCACCCTAATGTCACGCTTCAGTGACATGACCTGGTCTTGGTGACCGTGCAGGCCTTATCCAGCCCTCAAACTGGACCTTCCCGCCTGCCCCTCCGCTAAACCAGGTGATGAAGCCACATTCCGGGACTAACAGTCAGCGCCACTGACCCGATCCTACTCACGACCCTGCAGGCCAGAGTGGTACTCACCCGGTAGATTTCCAAGACTATAAATCTTCACAGAATAGAAAGCCCCATCTTTCTCCTGAAGAGCAGCTGTTGGTTTCGAACTGCTGACCTAGTGGTTAACAGCCCAACGTATAACCCCACTACACCACCAAGACTCCTTGGAACCCCTGTTATCCTGGAAAAATTGGAAAGCTGCTTTGGTTCCTCTTCCAAGTCTTCTACCCAGAGTTTACCCTCGCTAATGTCCCTTCCGAACCCAGAGAGATGTGTAGGTTTGCTAAATAAAATTTTCAGAGAAGTGAAGCTTAAATACTGAAGTAGTATTCAAGGTGAAGTATGATGTTTATAGTTCACTTTAAAATATTTAAGCAAAAGGGAGATGACACAAATATGGCAAACCTTTAACAGTTACTCAGTCTACATAATAATGGTATCATTGATTATACAGTGTTCCAAGGTTTGGAAAGCTTTTTAACAAAAGCTTTTTAGAATTAAAAGGACCTTAAAGGTTTTTTTGTGGGTCCCTCACCCCTAATCTAGAATCATTAAATATATACTATGTTTATTTTCTTACAGAGAAATCTGGGCCAGGTTTCTGTCTTTTGAAAGTAATATTGGTGATCTGGCTAGTATTCTCAAGGTGGAGAAAAGACGGTTTACAGCATTCAAAGAAGAATATGAAGGCAAAGAAACCGCTCTACTGGTAGACAGGTACAAGTTCATGGACTTATATCCGTGCTCTGCCAGTGAACTCAAAGCACTGGGCTATAAGGTATGTACTTAACAGCCAATCTCACTGCCATCGATTGATTTCAAATCATAGCAACCCTATAGGACAGACTACAACTGCCCTTGTGGGTTTCTGAGACGTAACTCATTATGGAGTAGAAAGCATCTTTCTCCCTTGGAGTGACTGGTGGTTCGGAACTGCTGGCTGACCTTGTGGTTGGTAGCCTACCATGTGACCACTTTGCCACCAGGGCTCCTAGTTGTATGGGGAAACTTAAAAAAAAATATTGGAAAATTGAATGAAAAAATCATGGAATTCTCCTATGAACTTTTTGAAACCCCTTTTAGAACAGATTTGTAGAAATTAAGGGCAAAAGCTCAGGACTTTTCCTTTGTTTTTGAAATACTAAATATCAAAAGTAGCTAAACAATGAGGAAATGAAAGTTAATAAATGCTTTTATTCTTGCCCTGACAATTGTCAATTTCTTGTTTCTTATGGTGTGGGTGTGAGTAGCAGTGGAAAAAAGGAGGTGAAACAAAAAATCTGAATATCTTCTTAGATATTACATTTTTTTTTTTTAATCTTTCTTATAAAATGGGTGGATTGGCCATCTTAAACCAAGTGTAGCTCCTGTTATGTATTGTGTATGTATTTAATAATGAAGATACACGAAAGCTTGTCCATTGTTCCTTGAGGGCTGTGAGTCCCCAAGGTTTCCGAGGCTTAACCGGGAATAAGTGGGAATCTTCTACTTGTGAACTACTGATAAAACCAATTTGATACTTTGCCTATCCAGGCCTACAGGGCAGATTCATGTTTTTGCAGCCTTAGAAATAGCCCTTGCTGAGAAAACCATTATTCTATCATTTTTTGTGTGTGTGTGTTGTATGAACCAAATGAACCAAGATGGAAAGAAAGGGAACTCAGACACGCATGCGTCTCAGGTGGTCCCTTGGACCAAACAGCATTAGGATAATCCTGGTCATCATGTGGCCTGGACTTTGCTTTGTACCTGAACCAGTTTTAAATGTTTAAAGACAAACTACCCATAATTGAGCTTTTCACCAACACAGCCCCGCTATGTGGCAATGCCCGACTCCCACTCAGAACCAAGAGGGCTGGCCCTCGGGGATGAGCAGTTTTTGCTTTTTGTGACAAGGGCATTTTAACACTAATTTGTCCAATTATTTGAAAAATCTATTTCATCGTTTTTTAGATGAATCAAAGTGGACATGACATAAAAATGCTCACATTCCAATTTGTACATAAAGTCATTGTAGACAGGTACAAAATAAGCATGGGAGGGAAACCGAGAAAAGGCATTCCCTAAGAGGCCTGCGCAGTTAGACCAGCTCCTTTACCAGCCGACTGGACCCACTGCCTTTGAGGGAGTGTTGAAAGGTGGGATGCTCCCTGCTGGTAGCACAGGGGCTCTTCTGTGGGCAGGTGGGCACTGCGTTGCCTAGACAATCCCAGAAGAGGTCCTCTAGGAGTAGACCTCTGTCCAACGTTAGAGTTCTCCCTCCGTGTGTCCAAAGCCTCCCTGTTGGCATAGTTGGCTGTGCATTGGGTGAAACCAGCGCTCCTCAGGAGAAAGACGAGGTTTTCTCTTCCTGTAAAGTAGTTGGTCTTGGAAACGCGTAGGGCATTCCTACCCTGCCCATAGGGTTGCTGAGTCAGCACTGACTCGATGTCAGTGAGTTTGGTGTAGCCTCTAGAGAATTGTTCCCTGCCCTAGCAGAGCATTGCTAAGGATACTGTGTATGGGACTTGAGGGAGGTCAGTGGGGGCTGAGTTCCAGTCTTCTACTTCTTAGCTACATGACTGTGGAAAAATCAGAACCTCTTTGAGCTTCAGACCTTCTATAAAATGGAGATGCTACTATTTACCTCATCAAAGAGGGGAGTAGTTAGAAGTGCTTCATAGTGGATATTCAATAAATTGTTCCTTTTCCCCTGTGATAGTAATTTAGAATTCACCTAAAGTAGCAAAATCATTTTGACTAAGGTAAAGGAAGATGAATCATGTTTTCACTTTTGGGGACTGGGACCACACTCACTCCAGACTCTTATTTAAAGAAACTGATAGCTGATGGAAGAATGCCTAAATTTGGAATTTTTCTTCCTAATTACTCCATTCTCTACTCGGTGCATAGAGCCTTATGACTTGAACCACTCACACTTGTCCTTGCCCTACGAATGTTCTAGCTGGCCACACTGGGTCTCAGCTGGCATTGGGAGAGGACTGTAAAACAGTTGGCCAATGATTTGTAAGTCTTTGGAGTCTTAGAGCTTTTCTTGCTGAATGTTTAACCATCTTTACTGTCGTTAAAGTTCTTGCTTATCCCTCTCCATGTTCTTGCTGTATTGTAATCCTTGTATTCACACCCTATCACAAGATTGTAGAATTGCACATTTAGACCCCTTCTGAAATTTGGGATTCTTCTGTTTGGCATTTTTAGGATGTCTCCCGTGCTAAACTAGCAGCTATAATTCCAGACCCAGTTGTAGCTCCCTCCATCGTGCCTGTTCTGAAAGACGAAGTGGACAGAAAACCAGAATACCCGAAGCCAGACACTCAACAGATGATTCCGTTTCAGCCGCGACATTTAGCACGTAAGTCATGCATTCAGACCTAGCAACTGAGACTGCATTGATTGAAATCCAGTGGTGTGGAGCAAAGTAGCATGACCTTTTCATTGTAGGTTTAATTATTAGACCTTGGATCAATATGACAATTGGCTTGACTGTGATCTTTGAACTGAGATGAGCTAAAAATCTCAAGTTCAGTGATCTAGATCTGGTAACCCATTTAGCAGTTCCCCTTAAAAGTTTTCACAAATGCTGCTACGTATATTGCCAATACAGCAATATACTTCAAATTTACTAATGCACTGTAGTCCCCTGGATCCACTTTGACCAAGACCCTAAAAATTAAATGTATTGGTTGAGTAACTTTAGACAGGATTACTGAACAGATGATTTGGGCTCAGAAATAGTCTATGACAAATATTGGCTTTAGTTCAACTGCTGGGTTGTCTTATGCAAAGTAACTTGTCTGCTTCACCCCCGCGGCCATATGGTGGAGGCTGCTTTTACTGTCACCCACTCGAATTTGGATAAAGCAGGTACGCACTTAAAGTGTCCTGAAGTAAGTAATGTAGACATGGAGGGTATTTCTGTGCCGATGACTCTACAGTTTACAGGAATAGAAGCGTTGTCTGTCCCCAATGACTCAGTACCCCTCCTCTCTGTCACAGCTCCAGGCCTACACCCGGTCCCTGGTGGAGTGTTCCCAGTACCACCGGCAGCAGTAGTGCTAATGAAACTCCTCCCTCCTCCCATCTGTTTCCAGGTTGGTTCACAGTCCATACCAGCTCTTTTTCTATCATTGAGAAATAGAAATATCTGCGATTTTAACTTGTCAGACTAGACGGGATTAAAATATATTTATATCAAAACAGGGTCCATTTGTTCAAGTGGATGAACTGATGGAAATTTTCCGAAGATGCAAGATACCAAATAGTAAGTACTGAAAATCCCATCTTCAGGGTGGAATTCACATCGCTGCCTCGCAGGGCGGAGGGAGTGTTACTCTTTGCCACTGAGGTCCCCATGCCAGGCGGCTTGCATGAGTGCAGTGAACTCTGGGCGTGCGCCTGTGGCAGATGAGAGGCTTCTTCCTATTTTCGCTCCACTAAGTAAAATGTCATAAAAGCCTTTCTAGTCCTAAGGATATGCACTATCAGATTTAGCTTAGGAAAATCATTAAACTCTCCCTTTAATTATTGAGGGGCAAGTGTACTAGACTGTATGTTGCTACAGTAGGCTTTGAAATGAACTGTCAAGTTTCCCAACTAGACCCCCAGATTCCTTCCCAGCAGCAGAACTGTCCACAGCCTCACGCAGTCCTTCCTGTTGTGTGTGTGCAGCTGTGGAAGAAGCTGTGAGGATCATTACCGGTGGCGCTCCGGAGCTGACAGTGGAGGGCAATGGCCCAGTAGAAAGTAACGCCGTTCTCACGAAGGCTGTCAAAAGGCCCAATGAGGATTCCGATGAAGACGAAGAAAAGGGAGCCGTTGTGCCCCCTGTTCATGACATTTACAGAGCACGGCAGCAGAAGCGAATCCGGTGAAGCAGGCTCAAAACCTGCCTCGGGAAGAACACTCGGACCCAGGATTCCTCTCTTGCCTCTTAAGTCATATGTTTATGAGACAACGCTTTGTTACAAGGATCTTTGAAACAAAGTCGTATTGTCATTGGTGCCTCTATCATATGGTTCTTGAGAAACAAACAAACCTGTGTGAATTTTAGAGCATGGAACAGACCGAAGGCAAATACGCAAAATGAGGTTTTCACAAAGGTGAGAACAGTCTGTTCCCTCTTCAAGGGCGTCTGGACGTGTATGTGCCTCTTGAAGATTTGTGAGTTTTCAACAGTTTTATTTTAAAAACTGTATGGCTTATGATTGTAAAGTGTTTTATTACATTTTCTGAAAAAAGTTGTTCTCAGCTTGCTTATGTAGAGTCCTGCCTTATTGTTTGTTTGTTTTTATTTATGGCAGAAATGTATGGAATCTGTTTTGTAGTTTAAAATTTTAAAAGCAGATCTTTTAAAAAAATAAAAAGATCTCATAAAAATGCCGAGCCTCCTCTTCCTTTTATTCAGAATTTACTTACAGTAGCCACTTATTTTATTCCTTCCAGCATCATTTAAGTGTCCATAATACAAGGACCTCTCATTTGTATCTATGTACAAATGTCTTGTCCTGGTACTAAATGAAAATGAGGGATCCATTATTCAGATGCACATTAAATATTTTCGAAATCCCTGATGTATTTTTCCCCAATTAAGTCTGGAGTCAGAGAGGAATATTGTCATCTTGCATCTTTAAAGCAGACTAATGCTTTAGCTGTAGCATACCTCCCTCTGTTCCCACCTCACTGTGTGTCAGCTGTGCAGAAGTCCTCCGTGCTCTAATGAGCACACGTGCATACATATGTCACGAAGCACTGCCATCGCGTCCCTCTGACTCAGAGGGATCCTACGGGACAGCTCATAACTGCCCCAGTGGCTTTCCCACACTGTCCATCTTTGCAGGACGAACAAGTCTCATCTTTCTCCCGTAGAGAAAGGTGGGGCCAAACTGCTGACCTGCGCTTACAGCACAATGTGTAACACACACAACCAGAGTATCAGTGAAAAGAATGAAAAACAGTACCACTTTTGTCAGTCTACTGACCTCAGTCAATAATGTGAAATTTATGGAGTAGTTTTCTAAACCTCAATATGCTTATAGTTAATATGCAAGCACTGAAGCAATTCACCCAACAGCAAATGGTAACTCATGGAGCTCAGAACTCAATCCATTGTTGACGGTGCCTTTAAGAATGTGAGCTGGGCAGGTGCATGTGATTCTCATTTAGCTTCACGTTAGTGCAGAAACCTTTTCAATGATTTAAAGCTAAACAGGTGAAGGTTGGTTGAAATGAAGAATTTGTTGCAAACAGCGGTTGGTTCAATCCTTTCAAAGTGAGGGCAAATTTATACAACATTCAAACCCAACCACCCCAACTCACTGCCATCGAGTCCACACTGACTCATGGTGACCCTTATAGGACAAAGTAAAACTGCCCCCGTGAGTCTCCGCGACTGCCACTCTTTCCAGGAAAGAGTTCTATAATGCAGACCTTGCATTATGTAGCATGAAAATAAAACAAAGTAGTGCCCAGTCATTGATCTTCACCAAGAATTGGCCTTATTAAAAAAGAGACTTAGAGACCCCCGAGTGGCACAAATGGCTGTTAACGAAAAGGTTTAGGTCCATCCAGAGGGGCCTCGGAATAAAGACAGGATGAATGACTTCTGAAAAATCCACAACTGAAACCCCCGGGGAAGACCAGCTGTACTCTGACACATACGAGGTTGCCATGAGTCTGCCATGAGTCAGTCAACTCTAGGGCAATTGGTGATGCGAGCTTTGGCCTTCACCCTCAGTTCCTAGGATGTGGCCTTGAGGTGTCTGGCACATCCTGTCTCCTGGGCGTGTCTCTGCTTTCCAGACACTTGACTGAAGTTTACGCTGGGGAATCTCGGGTACACCCGTCAATTCCCCAAAGGCAATGATGACTCAGGTGTTACACCAGCTGGCTCTGGACTAAAGGTCAGCCCCACCCTTGACCAGCAGTACATGATGAGCCTCAATAAAAATTGGACACTAAGGGCTCGGCCATCCCGAGTGCTATCACACCGTGACAAAGAGACAGAATGCAGTCAAACTCTGCAGAGAAATGAACTCCAGAAGCCTCGAATTTGTACTCCTCCTGACTTGGCCCTGTATGGTTCTTCTGCTAAATGTAATTTGTACTCTACCCTCTGGTTGCACTAAAACTCTGACCTAGAGAACTTTCATGGGTTTTGAGAGTCCTAGCAAATGATCACATCTGAGGGTAGCTGAGTGGGTTTGTAGCCCGCGAGTCTGTAGTGAGTGTGGGCCTGGAGACTTGCAGCTGGGGTCTAAAGTATGAACAGCGGTGTGGAATCTGTTGCTCTGAATTTGCACTCTGGCTAACTGAAAACATTTCTCTGTAACAAAAACTTCCAAAGCCTTGAAAGATAATTCCTAATAAGGAACTCAATGTAATGGCTAAGCGCTCAGCTGCTAACCCAAAGGTCAGCAGTTCAAGCCCATCAGCTAGCACCATGGGAGAAAGATGTGGCTATCTGCTTCAGTCACAATGACAGCCTCGGAAACCTACAGGGGCGGTTGGAGTCCGTCAATGGGATCACTGAGTCAGTGTGACTCCACAACAATGGGGGTAGAGTTTGGTGTAAATAAATTTAAGTGTCATTTTACTGACTTAAGTAAAATCTTGTGTATTCCAGTGTAGGAATTGCACCCAATCTGATCCCGCCACACTGAGGCAAAG